AACCTAAATCTTTCCTGGCTGGAACAGAAAATCTTGTCTCTGGCCTGGTATTCTATAAGAGGAGTCCTCCATTAATTTTTGTTTTTCAACTACTCTTGGCACAACCATATTTGCTTTTCTTACAGACCTGTACTGGTTTAAGAAGATCTTTTAAGATTTATAGGAGTTCTGCAACAAATTTAACAAAACCACCATGACAGAAGATAAATGAAACAAAGGAAAATTATCATATGGCTTTGAGTTACATCAGAAATAACATACCAAGACCATTTAAAAAAATTGTAGGCTTATAATTTACCTATTTTTATAGTGATCTAGATTTTTTCTGAATTTTAATCACCCCTACCCAATGAGAACACAGTTGAACTACCTATACTTTCCCTCAGAATTATGTCTGACATGCTTATAAATAGTAGATTCACACCTTCTCAAAGGTGCCTCGAAAATGCAGTGCACATTTCTATCAGAAAAAAATTAAAGTAGCTAGCTTAATGCACACTGTTTTATATTTGTAATCCTATCTGGATCATCATTGCTTTGGCTTCAGATGGGAAAATGTATTACATGCAGCATTTTTGTAACTACAAGAAAAGAATAACAGAAAAGCTGTAGGTTGTATTTCCCTGATGTAATTAATAACATACAGAACAATATAAGCAATGTTAACTCCTTTATATAACCTTGCTCTCATGATTGCTTTTTATGTCTTTATTTAAAAACATCAAGATCAATTTCAATATCAATAATAAAACGTAAAAATTAAAGTTAAGAATAAAACCAGACATGCCAGGAGCTAAACCTTTAATGGAAAGAAGGATGAGAAACCAAAATAAAGGCCTGCATATTTGCACAACCACTGTCACCTCTTCCTGGTTAAGGTATTCTTCAAAAGGGAATAGCACACAACTACAGAGTGAGAATTCTCTGAAAATTAATGTTCTATGTCTTATGCAGAAATGTCAATGTAACATATCCCAAATATGTGCATTTCATTGTTTCTGTAATATTATGTTCTGACTCTGAAAAAAACATTATGCTCAAGTGTTTAAGAGACCTTGAATATCTGCAGTTTTTAAGGGTTATTTTTTGAAATCAACCCCAATTTTTTTGTCAGTTTCTTTTTTTTTCTTTTTTCGTTTCTTTAAATGGTGTCCAACCCCCAAGGCAACCTTAATAAAGTCAATGAAATTATACAGGTGGAAAGGACAAAAATGCAGTATCTGGATTTCAAATAGTGGCGAAACTGGTCATGCCATTAAACCCAACACAAGAACCTTTTAATTTAAATGTAATCTCCAAAAGACCAAATTACCAGCAACATATTCTCATTAATTCCTGTAAGGGATACTCAAGCTTTGGACTCTCTATTGTTCTACTTATCCAGAAATGGCTGAGACTTAGTATTAATAAGACATCACTCATTTAAGTGGGCATTCATGACTGGGCGGGGAAAAGATAGGCTCATCCTTTTGAAGTGGTAGCGGGCAAGTAAGGCTGCTGTAATAGGCTGTGATTATTGTCAGTATGAATGCTCCCTCATCTTTCTAAAAATTAAAAGGAGCACTCATTTTCCTGCTTGAGTATTTCTCACACTGGCAAAAAATGAACACTTTGAAATGTAAATGATTTAATCTTTGCAAACCCCTGCTTCAGAAGGAGGTACAGCTTCATTTACAAAATGAAGACATTTTAGGAAATGATTATCATTGTAAAATTGAGGTCAGCAGGGAGCCTGAGTTCAAACTCTTAGAATATCAGCAGTGTAACAAGTTTGATCTTCCTTACTGCATTGCTTGCATTTGCTTCTCTGGGTTCCAGCAGAGAGCCATTGTCAGTCTGAACTTGTTCCCACTCGTTTCCCTTGGTTAAATAAAACAGTTATGCTTATTATTTAGAGTTAGTCAGTCCAATAAAATTTGGGACAAAACTAAAATTAAAAAAGGAAGTTTAAACTTATTTTGATTAATTTATACACAATGTAGTTATTCAACTTAGAACATTAAATGGTTGAGAACACTGAAGGCAATTTCTTTATAGTATAGGCGATACCATTGGGTAGTGTTACTATACTGTCCTACCCATGTTTGGGAAGGAGACCACCCATAATGGTGAGAGAATATTTCATTTAAAAATTAAACATTAAGTCCTTAATCTCTCTTCTGCGACTTCTTAACAGAATTACAATTATTGTTGGTGGCAGTCTAGGGGTCTACGGTGTCAGTCAGGCTTATTATGAACTTGTGCACATAATAAATTTGTATTGTAAAACCCAGATGATAACAACTATCATATGACAACAGCCATTGGCATGAACTACAGAGTCTGACTGATATGGACAGCTTCCCTGCACTGCTAGACACTCCTAATGAAAATGATGGAAATCTTTCAGAAATGAGAATCAATCTGTGTGAAACAAATCTCAGAAGTGAGGAGTTTAATGTGTTATTGGTGATCTTGAGATGTAAGTTCATTATCTTTTAATCAATGTTATATGCTATTTTTCAGTGGAGTTACTTATCTCTCTGCAATTCCTGAAAAGTCATTTCTGTATCCCAGCCTGATACCCTGGAAAGTATACCTTAAAATGAGAGCAAAAATCTCAGTTTTCTTACAAGTATCTTTGCTATGCCACTGGAGTTACACCCTTCAGTGTAAACCCACCCTTCAGTTACACACTTCAGCATGGATTAAACTCTACAGTTACTCTGAGCAAGAAATGCACCCATGTATCTACAACATATGAGAAAAAAATATCAAATCAGGCAGTATTCAGTATCTGTCCAATATCTCACCAAAGGATAGGTAAGAATGAAGGGCTGCTTGTAGTCAGGTAACGCAATATAGTTTGAAGCAGGTCTAAAACCTTGGTAGCCAAACTTGCAGGATGCTTGTCCAAAGCAAACTTAAGGATGTTTATCTTTACTAATGATGAAAAGCAAAAAATTAATAATGGTTTTTCATGTTCCGCAAAAAGAGGAGAAAACCCCCATGTTTCTATAAACAACCCCCCACAATTTTTCAAAATTTCCCAAATGCAGAAAAATATGTTAAAATGTTTCAAAAAAAAAAAAGATAAAAAGAGAAAGTCTAAAAAACATCCAACATACAGCAAGTCTCATTGCTTACTGTTTTTTCTGGGTTTAAGCAGGTGTTTTGTTTGTGTTCACTGAAGTGTGAGGCAACTGTTCTCTGAGTAATGAACGACTCCATTATGAGCACCACTCACTCCCCTTCCAAGGCAAGTCTGCAAACTGTGTGATTGCTGCAGCAGAGGAAAGATACATACCCTTCCCTTTGGGCAAGACTTCTCTTTCTCGGTGGAAATAAATACCCAGAAAGTCCTGTAGATGTAAGACAAGTGAGTGTGACCAGAAACAAATGTGAGAAAAAGTCACACAGGTATTGTATTAATACTTGAGGTATTAATGCACATGGTCAAGTGTATCTCGTTGACTCACCTGGTGACTTTATGAGAGTTCTGGAGGACAGGGACCTGAAAGATAGCTGTTTAGTATTGGTATTGTCCTCTTAATGACAGTATTACTCCTTTAGCTATTTAAAGGTGTCTATGAAGTTTTAGATTTGCTGTTTATAACAGAAGCCAGGTTGTGAGAGGGTCTAGAGCTGGATGAACGCAGAAGTAAGAATATGTCTGTTTTGATGAACCAATACTGTAACAGATAACAAAAAGCTATTCCAGGTTGTAAACTCCCTGGGGCGCAGAGTACTCATTCATCTGTAGAAAAACATCAACACACTGCATATTGGGTAGTAAGTAAGGTATCCCTCAGCCTTTCCCTGTCCCATAGCCTGCAGGACTGGGGCCAGAGCACAGTAGGAAGAAAAATTCAGTGCAGTGAAACTTTATTGACCTAGAAGGGAATTCCAGGAAGCTCACAAAGATTCTGAGATCTGAACTTTTAAGCAGGCCGTCACTTTAACCATTAAAGAATTTATTATTATCAACAACTCTGCTCTATTGCCAACTATGCTTAATATTTATTTATATATGAGGTAGCTCTCAGTTATTTTTCTCAGTTGAGAAAGTAAGTCTAACACATCTTAATTAAGTTTCTCAGAATGTTGAAGGGTGAAGTTGAATGAAGTGAAGAGAGAACAAAGGTATGGGCACTAACACTGCATGTGCTATTAAATTCAGGACCACAGGTTACAATAGTACTGTGTGGATTATGTTTCTTTAGCTCCACATTCTGGGCAACTAATGCAGTATTTTACATAACATTTTTTGGGAAGTTGAAATCAACTCTGTAAATCAACTTCTGAAAGTCGTGAAGTAGGCAGTTTAGCTACTCGCCTAGAGCTCTTCAGGAATAATCTGCTTTGAACTACTTAACAAATACCGTGTTTTGTCATTAACTCATTGTCTCTGAAGTTCCCACAAACTGTTTCCAAGTAATTTTCGTAATATTCTCTTCAGTGACAGATATTTTACACATTAAATCTATTTTTCATGTTAGTCTAATGAACAAGAAGGCTGATGTAATCCACTAAAGGAACATATATTCTAGTTTTCATTCATGCTTCAGAGTATTGTCACAGTGCAGCACAAAGGAATAATCTGATTGTTTCTCATAAAGCAAGAACAAATCATGATTGAAGGATTTCTTCTATTTAAAGCTATGCTCTGCAAAGCCTATTGAACTTGTTCGAGGAGTCATCTTTAATGCGTACACTAACTACATAAAGCTGCTGCACAGTTGCCATTCAAGAGCTTATTTAGTACCAAAAGGCCAATATTGCTGACTTGCAGATTACAAATATCATATTAATTTATTTATATTTAAATCAGGCTAAAAGATTAAGAGTACCTTCAGTAGATCCATTTACAATTAAAATGAGTGCAAGTTTGAATTACTTTTTTATGATCTAGTACAGCTGGGATTTGAAAGAGTTGCCGCCAGAATGATGCAAAGCATTTGCCTTTGACAAAATAATGCAAAATTTGTGTAAGTGGGTGAAAGCGCATCAGATTATATTACCTTGTAGGTCAGCTGGAAAATACAGTATGTATTCTGATTGTGAGAACACAGAGTGAAAGGAAAAAAAAAAAACCCAGGTGCTGGGTGATTCAGTCTGCAGAGAGAGGGTAGGGGACGATGGCAGTGCAGAGGCCAGATTCCCCCTGTTATCTTTCTGTGGTCAGAGTCTAAAACTAGCAGGGGCGGTTCTCATAGGTTTGACCCCTGGGCAAAGATAACTCTTTCATACCCCCTGTTCCACTTTTCCACTTTGTATCCAAGTCCTCTGCTATAAAATGTAAAACCAGCACATAGAACATACTGCTTTGGAGGTCTGCCACTTGCATTCAGGCAACCATTTGTACTTTTGCAGGCGTAATCAATCTCCTGTTGCTATCAGCAGGGGAGTGGGGCTTTGCTGCTTTATGGCTTAAAAGTAGTTTTGTGCAAATTCTATTTCCCTCCCCCTTCCTTTTAGCTTCACCACTCACAGGATTTCCAGGGACATGGGCTAGAGCTGAGAAAAGAAGCTTGTTTGATTTAAGCACAGAGGGGTTTTTTGTGTGTGTGTTTATATTTTCTCTGCATCTATTAAGGGGCGAGGGGGAGAGACTTCATTTATATGTTAATATTAGCTGGCACCCTGACTAAACTGACAGAACTATTTCATGGGAAGCTGACAAATTTTGTCAGCTAGGCTATCTTTCCACATCTCAATAGTGGCAATAATCTTGATTAGCAAAACAATTGGGGGCCAAAGAAGTCCTGCTGCTCCAAAGACCCTCTTCTCAGGTTACAGTTTGCTAATGTGATGAATCCAGAGAGCCCTTCAAGCTTGAAAAAATTTCCCAAAGCGCTGAATTTAGGCAAATGAAGGGAACCATTTTGAAGGCTGGACAAAAGGGGTTAATTTGATCGACCATGTCTCCATAGTCTTATAATAATCATTTACTTAACAAGCATATAGAGAGTCACTCCATGGAAACTGGTGAAGTTAACAGAGGAAGTTCGAATAGAATATCTGTTTATCCCAGATGTGTGGGAATTTTAGCCAAAAACCAACAACACATAATTGCTGCCTGCAGTACTGAGTCTTACATAGAAACAACAGCAGAACTGAAGGGCTCTAAACACGTTATGAAGTCCTTGTCTATGAAGCAGTACAAGCTTCCATTTCGATTAGCTTGTTGCATTGTTAATAAAATAATGAGAAATTAACAGTTTCAATGGAAATTAACTAAAAAGGTTTGTGCAGTCTTACTTCTCAGTGCAATTTATGGCATCTATTTCTATTTGCCATCTTAAGTGATTTGGTAGTATTTTTGAGGCATATTGATTAATCTTCACACCTTTTATTGCTTTATTACATGATAAGCCATACTCTGAACTATATTTATGCAGCTTAAATCTGGTGTATTTCTTCTAGTGGAATTATGTTGCATTTTCTTTAAAACCAAAATCAAATGCTCATTAAAATTATCAGTAGATGGAAATGTGCTTTGTCCGGGTCAGCTTGGAATATATAATCGCAATGTAATGTAGCCATCTTGGCTTTGTCCACACTTATTTATGCATGTAATTAATTTATTATTAATCTGCCATAAGTTGATCTAAAGTAGCTATTCTTCATGAGATAGATTCTAATAAATTCATTGATGGCTGATGCAATTTGCAGACTTGCATTGAAAACTCCATGATAAAAAGTACTAACTAAAACCATCTCTTTTCACATGGACCCTCCCCCCCCCCTTCCTTTGGAGCAATTTCTTTGTTCTGTGACAAATAAAAATAACCATTTATATCATGTTTTGTATCATTAAGGGATTTGACCTAATCTGTGCACACTGGTGAACATTAGCTTAAGTATACATTTTGCTAGACATCAAACACAGGGTACTTAAAAATACTGATCTGTCTTTGATGGGTTTCAGAACTAAACTTTACTTATGCATTCTGCAGCTATGAAAGAGGAACCATTTATCATGAAGAAAGGGAGGAACAGAAACCCTGGCATATTTTTTCTTGTTCTGTTATACATCTCTTGTGTTAATGAGAACTTTTATACATTTGTCATATTCTTTTTAAATTTTAGAACATTTTTTGATAATTTAGAAACTATAATGAAATTCTCCACCTTTAACATGAGCCAGTAATTTTTTTTCAGTTCCACTCAAATTTGTGATAGGATGTGACTGGAACATGGTTTTTAAAATTTATTACATGCACACTTAAAGATAAATACATGGACAGAAAGATTTACTAAACAGGTTTGCTCCACAGCTGTCATACTCTTTCACAGTGATAGCATTCAGGAAAAAGATCATGCAGAATCTCCACTCATAAAGAACCTCCAACATTTACACTAGCATAGAATAATGTTCATTTATATTTAATTTGCAAGGTGGATATGTGAACTGTAGAATCAGAAGTTCCTCTTTTCCTTTGAAATCAATGGAATGCCTTTAAAGATTATCAGAAAAATTCTGTTTGATGTCAGTTGAAATTTTGCTTGAGCTAAAAGGTTTACCAATAACATAGCACACTTGCAAATAAATGAAACAGACTTGCAAGAGTTTTCTCTCCCAGTCTCTCCTTCCCATTATTTGTTTGAAAACTCTACACACAGCCTCTACTTTTCAGCATTTTGTGCTTCCAGATGTTCATAACTAGACTAATTTTTTAGGAAGCTGAGGTGCTCTGCTTCATACAATCTGTCACACAGTACCATAGTTGAAAAGGAAAACACATTATATGATTAGCATCAAACTGTTACATGCTCATTAAGAATCTCATATATTTTATCATATAGATCTATACCTCTACAAAAATAACCACCTTATAATTCCCTCTTTTAAGGCTGCTTTAAACAATGGCACAGGTTACAGTGACAGCAGCAGAAGAGAAGTTTTTCAGTCCTCATGCATGAGGCTAAGGAACTCAGTCTATTTGCAGTAAGAAATTTTTTTGCTTTCATTTGTTCAACTTGTCAGAACAGCAGACAACATCTAAATATGAAGTTCTTACCCAAACAAAAGCTTCCTTATGGCATTATACTTGATTCTTATCGTTTTAGGTTAACATGGTACAAACTTTCAAACAACTCCTAAGCTTGGAATCTTGTGCACTACTAGAGTGGCTGAAAACTGTGATCCTGATTATGCACAATTTAGACTAGCAATACCTCTGAGTAAGGCTTGGAAGCCCTCACTCGAAGGAAGACTTTCCCACCTATACCCAGTGTCACCAGCAGTCAGCTGAACACCAATGTACTACAGTCTGCGAGATCAGGCTGAAGTGCCCTCTTTCAGTGATCTTGGAGAAGGCAAGGATGAAGACAGCCTGGAGACAACACAGTGTTTTGGGGTTAATTTCCTTGTGATATAGGATATTTCCTTACAAATTTTTGTTGATATTTACACGATGAGTTCAGGCAGTTACTAGCCATACTTCACTTCCAACTGTAATTGTTTGGTGACAGTACGTATTCTGTGCTTGATGCACTGCTGCTGAGACAGGGAGCGTCCCATTTAAGGTTTTGTTTGTGCAAGGTATCCGAGGCTTTTGTCTATAAAAAGACAGAACTAGCATAGGTACTAATGCTTCTCTGTGATAATTTTACCCCCTTCTGACACAGTTCCAAAATGATTGTAAGTGAAGAAGAAACTCACATTAAACACTGACATACATGCTTTGCACAATTTTAAGGAAAATACCTTTGGTTTGCTTCCAAATATCGTCAGCAGGATGAACACAGAGGGCAACATTTAGTTATAGATTAATAATCCAAAGTACAAATAGTTCTGAACAAATAAGAAAAACATAAACCCACAATATTAAGCAAACCAAAGGACAAAGATCACTCTCAATTCTCCATGCTATATTATTTTTAAGTGGTGAAACAAACCATACAGAAGTCATTGAACTCTGTGATGTCAATATCAAGGTGAATCAGCCTGAATCATACATGCCGCAAAGAGTTATGAAATGTAAAAGCCACTTAAAGCATGAGGAGTTTAAATGAACAACAATGAACCCACTGAATTTTTAAAATTTCCCAATTAAACTCTTTGAAGTTGGAGAGTACAATGCCAAGATGTACATCAAACAATCAAGAAAATTTGAGGAAAGCAAATCAACTATAAAATTCAGTTACTCTTGTGTTACTGTAATATGTTAATACCACTGGAATTAACTTGAATTATATAATTCTCTGTTAGTAAGACTACACCTGACATAACTGCTTATCTATGAGTAAAAGAAGAAATCGAAAGAAAGAAGAATTTCTTCCATTGGGAAAATAGGAACACACTTCTCTGGAGGGACAAATTTTGAACTATCGTATAAGCTGCAAATCACCTTACCTAGTCTGATTTTGAACAGTGTTTTTCAACTGCTCATCCTGTAGCTCACACATTCTTACCACTCATGAATTATTCTGAGAAAGTTACATGCAGCTGAGACCAGAACAATATGTAAAGCCTGCTCCCCTACTTTGATTCTTCGGTGAAGAATCAAAAATAAGTATGTGTTTCTGTATAAAGAGTTGAATTTTGGCATGAATTTTGGGTGATAATTCTGTTTTGTCACTGTTCTAGGGCATAAACAATTATCTATCATCCATTGATAACACCGGAATGGTCATCCATCTATTATTATAGTAAAATTATTTTGTTAGAAAAGATTGTGAGAAATCACCCAATGAATGTCTAGGCTATCAAATTAACCATTATCTGTCCATCCCAGACAATCTTCAGACTGTGTTTCTCCTCTAAAAATTAAAACATACAGCACTCTAGATCTCATCATGGGCACATAGAAGAATTCCCATTATATTAGGGATTCTTTATAAATAATGCAGCCCGTAAATTTATCTGCTTCCACTCCAACATGGAGCTTTTCAAAATAATTCTTACTTCATGATCAGGGAAAAAAAACCCGTATTGATTGATACACAGATATCATAGTGTCAAATAATTGTGTTCTCTGGATTTATACACAGATACCTTCATTACTATCGCAGTTTGTTTCATATCTTTCCTCAGATCTGTTACCTAATAATATTTTATGTAGGTGAAGTGTCACAGAAATGGCTATATCCCCAGTGAAATATAAACTCTGAACTTACTTACACAATTGTGCATCTTCTTTAACAAAAGCAACTCGGTCAGTTTTTCAGCTGTTTTTCTTTATGATTTTTTTTTCCTTATAAATAGAAATATGAAAATAAATAAATATTCCACATTGCTTACATTTTGAGTTCAGCTGTGTAAATCAACATTTATAAAACATC